TGGGCGTGGGCTCAGGGTCTGTGACCTTGTCAGGGTTGGGCGTGGGCTCAGGGTCAGAAGCGAACTGCTGGACCTTGTCCTCCCCGAATGGCACGCCTGCGATGGAACTGCCATCACCCGGCTCAAGTGCAAAAACACTCAAACCTCAAAAGGCCATGTTTCAAAAACAAGGCCTGCTGTGATGAACTGCGCCACTTGGGCACCATCGAATGGGAGGGTTTCAGCATCCTGCATACTGCCACTTGCGGCATCACCAGTGCCTTGGAGAGCGCCACATGTGAGATTGTTCTTTTGTGTGACCGGGATAGTAGTTAAGCCGTAGTTAAGCCGCAGACCTTGCCAAGACTCAGCCACCAGTTTCCCAGCCAGGGCAACCCGCCGCTCAGCCATCCTTTGCCTGAAAGGGACAGCAATGGGAAATCAAGGGGCAAAGCAATTCTAGCCCAAACAGAAATCATTATCCGCATTCAAGTTGCTCAAGTAGCCGGAGTTCGTCTTCGATGCTTTGGTCCGACTTGTCGTCAGGGGATGTGGCAAGAGGGGAATCAAACATGGGTTCCTGGGTTTTCTTGAAGTCCCCGCCAAGCGTCCATGCCAGGTATTCGTCAGTTTTGGCAACGGAGTTTGGGGTTGACTCGCCCTCAACGGAAACCTGTGCCTGACAGGGGGACTCATCACCCTCACCACCCTCATCACCACCACCCTCAATCTCCTCATCGGCCAGGTTTGCAGATGAGTTCTTGCGGGTCTTGGGCGCCCAGTGCTTGCCCATGATCTCGAACAGCTCTTGAAGAGCCGGGTCCTAGGGCGAGGATTCATTGGCAATTTTTCTGGGTCAAACGAGTAATTTCAATCAAGATTCTCTGCGAACGCTGTTGTCATGTCTTCTGATCAGCAAGCTCATAAAGCCCTTCAAAGCATGGGCATCGCAGTGCACGGACACGGGGGAACTTGAGATTCTCATAGCCAACCGGAGTCTCCGCACCTTCAAAGGGATCTGAGATTTCCACAAGCCCGCAAAGTAGACAGGGAGAACGAACAACTACTGGTGGTGCCAGGCCTCCCGCTTCAGCTGATCGATTGGCGTTGTCTTTGGTGAGGCCAATGTTGGGACCCATATTTGCAGCAAAACCTTCAACATGGGGGCGTTCATCGACAAGGCCTCCAGAGACATGTTGCCAACGCGCTGCGGGGATGGCCATGACAACAGGGCATTCTTCTTGACGATCGCTCGCCGCAGTTCTTTGTGGGCTTCCCAGGCTTCGGCCAACCCATCAAGAGAATCGGTCTCTGAAAGATGGCGAAGCATATACGACATGGTTACCAGGGAGTTTCACTTTCCAGCCAAATGCTTTCAAGCGGTCAATTGAAACGAGTTCAAGGTACTGGTCACAAGAGGCACATGAAGGGCAAACAGGGGCACTAGGCGACCACCAGGTTCACCGCCTGGCGCAGTCAGACAACACATGTGTCATCTCTGGTGCACAGGGCGCGCCTCCAGAAGTGAGTGAGGAACTTCCCATGTTACCCGCCTGCCAGGGTGCAACCCAACACACCATTCCAAAGTTGGGGATCCAAACTGGCCTCCTCATCATTTCTGGTCAGTACGCTTGAAGCCAAACTCCAGCTAGTAGAAGCCGGAAGACTGGCCAGGGAAAACCAGAAATTCAACTGCCACGCCCCACAAGAAAGCGCGCCTGCGTGCCCAAGTTGAAGAGTCAAGGGGTTCAGAAAAAAGGTGACCATGACCTGCGTGGGATTGAGGGTCAAACAAGTTTGGATGTAGGTGCCATGAAGCAAGTTCGTGTGACAAGGTCAAACGCTTCAGGAGCTTTTTCTTCCACCTCCACCTTTCCATCATGAAACGCGCCCCGCTTCGCCGGCAAAGGCGTTCACTCTGATGGCTGTGTCTCACCATTGAGATCGGCGCTCTGGCGCTCGCGTGAACCTAGGCTGGAGCAGCCGAGGGGTAAGTAATTCTGATTGGGTCACTCAAGGTCGAAAACACTAGCTAAACTAATAATTGTCTCCTAGTCTCGGTCAGCTTGCCATTCGCGCAAATAGGTCGCAAGATCACACACTGCCCCTCGGCCCTTGAAATTCTCCACTATGACCTTCGCGCGTGTTTCATCCAATGTATCCTTAGCTTTGCGCAACCGAAGGTGTTATGGGAAGAACCCTCAATGACTCAAGAGCACACTGCCAACCAGCAGACAACCTAAGTCGGGAACCAGCAACGGCTCAGTCGGCCATAGCAAGGCCTGGACCTCCTGAAAGAACTTCTGGGGCATGTCATTGAGACCTGCAACCGTTTCTTGTTGGAGTTTGGGTTCCAAACAAGCATGCGCCACGCCTGCTTCTTTCAAAATACTGCTGACCTTTTCATCAGTCAAGGCCATTGCGTGGACCTAACCTTCAGGGTCTCCGAGCCAAAGCGCTGCCCAACGCGGGCTTGGAGGTGCAAGCAAGCACTGGCAACGCTTTGTCACAGTGCGCAGCATCATGTGCCAGTGCAAAAAGGCCGGGCGTACCCTTAGCAGCCAGCTAGTGCTGGCCAGAGGGTGGCTAGAAGCCAAATAGCTGAATAACGGCAATCAATGGAAGTTCCCAGCTTCGTGACCTGAATGATGAGGGTTCCCTGGATGGATAACCCAAACCCAAAAAAACGCCGTAGCAAAACAAAAAACGCCGCAAGAAACATGCTGTTTGGACAGTTTCCGCCGCAGGACGGAAAAAGGCGCCTTTTGCAGGCCGAGGCTAAAATTTGTGCCGTTAGGATTTTGCAGGTATGTTCTCCTTTCCGTTGTGTGGTGAAATTCAACCACCTTCTCACGCCAACTCGAAAGGAGCTTCCTTGAAGTGGGGGTGATGTAAGAAGCACAAGGCATCCTGAGAACAATGGTTGCCATTCTGTTACGCCCGTGTTGGTTGGCGACACTTGGAGTGGCACCAAGCCGACGCCAACAAATCTGGACTGAAGCGAGCCACGGGGAAACTCTTGGCCAGAGAGCTGGCGTCGATATTGTAGGTGAGACGTATCCAAAAGTCTTACTCGTTTGTTTCTGGCGCAAGAGTGCGTCTTAAGCTTGCGTACCCCGGAGTGCTTCTTACTTGTTTGTTTTTGGAATACCTCAGAGAGCCAAGAGGAGAGTAAAAGTGGGGAAGGGTTTCACCTTCGCAGGGACCAAATGCCATTAAGCTCTTGCCAAAGGATTCAACGACAAATCAAGAGCACACAGCTCTGACCTTGCCTGTTTGTAAATCGGTTTCGGGGTCGTCCCACTCAAAGGTTTCATGTCGCCTTAAACGGGCTAAAGAGCTTGTCGACAACCAATTGAATCCCTTTGATCGGGATGAGTTTGAATAGGCCATAGTTCGGGCGCCTCTCGTCAAGCAACCGCATGCTTTATAGGTGCGGAAGTAAATCTTCGGAAGATACTTGGACTCTTTGGCATACCCGGAATTTAGTTGCATGACCACGGTCTAAGACCACCGGTAGATTTTCTTAGGTGCCTGCGCAAAAATGAGCGCTAGGTGCAGGCCGAGCTTTACCACATGTGCCACGATCAACATGTCTGCCATTTCCTGGCACATCTTGGGACGTGGATCCATGGGACAACGTTGGGGGACGATTTGCAACTTGCGAGTTAACCGTCTTGAGCAACAAGGCACCAGCCCTGAAAGAGCTGCAGGGGAAGGCTGCCCGCTTTTGAAACCCAGTTGTTCAGTGGCACCCAGCCTTGGTTCTTTATGTTGTTTATTGTTTTGTTTCAACCAAAACAACACGCACACATATCATCGGGTTGGGTTTGGGGTTCTATGGAAAACAACACAGATCCATGCTTGGTGTGCTCATCTCTAGAACCGAGACCCTTCGAGCTTGAACTTGGGGAATAGAGTCAGGGCCATGTAAGTGTGCGGGTGGTGGTCTGGTAGGTTGGTGGGTGCCTTGGGTAAAAATCGTCGATATCAAAAATCAGCCCCTTGTCCACCGCTGAGCAAGTGAAAGGCTGGATAACCGGAAGTTCTCCTAGACTAGCCTTGGCAATCTGTTTCGTCCAAACTTCTCCCGAGAAAAGGTGGCAACAGGACCACCCAGTATTGATAAAGTCAACCTTGGTTCAATCTGGAGCATGGTGCATTCAGGAGCGGTTCCACTTCGAGCAAGGATCTGACTTATTAGTTCAGCTGATATACTTTTGGATTAGTATCCTCCAGATGAATCCGAAGCGAAAGATTCTAGAAAAGCCATACAGCCAGGTGTGCTTAGAGTGCTGTGTGTGTGTGTGTGTGTTTGTTTGAAGTACCGGGGCGTAAGGAGCCAGCTCGGCAGATTGTAACATATCAGCGAATCCATGTGTTTTTGTGTGTGTGTCTGGGTTGCCTTATGATGTCACCCTTCCAAAATGGGCGGTTTTCCTTGCATTCTCTTGAAAACCTCCGGCACTCGACATGGGAAATCTTGGTCAACGCGGGCACGGTCCTGGGAGATCAACTCGGAGCGGGCAGCGAGGTACTTCCTCCTTTCGGGCCTCTGAAAGGCAAGCTGTTTGCGTCTTTATGATGGCTGAAGCAAAAACACTCAAGCAGATTCAAGTGTTTCCTTGACGTTTGTTGCACAAGTCAGAAGGCCCCAGAAACGATGGATGTGTGTTGTGTGTTGGTTCAAGTTGTTTTGTTTCAGACAAGACTTTGGGAAAGGACCCCGCTTTCTCCTGCCCAAGACCTTCCTGCCATGGCGGGATCAATGCTCCAATGGTCTACGTAACTTCTAAGAAGGTACTTGCAGCCCTTTGTGGCCCCGAACAACCATCTTCAAATGGTACTTGGACTTGGACCATAAGGGATGGAGTACGGGGTGTCCCCTTTGCGAATTCAGCACTGGAGGGCAGTGGGGAGGGGTCCCTCATAAATGGTTGTCCTTTTGGTTTCCAATGCCAAAAAAGGGCCTTTGGGTCTGTCTTTTTTCTGCAGGGGTTTCCCAACCTATGCCCGTGGAGGTCTACGACTTCATCATCTTCCGTGGTCAAGACATCAAAGATCTCACGGTGCTGGAGGGGCAAGGGAAGGCTTCCAGCGCTCGGGCCCCGGTTGCACCACAAGAGCCCAGCGGATGCAACCGGGTTTGTGCCCGGCAAACCGAGAGAACAAACTGGGTAAGAAGAATAGCAATACACGAACCCTGTTTGAGGTTGGTTGAAATGGGCACCAAAAGAAAACTGCCGCTGAAACGGCGACTCTCCTATTTTGACACATATGTGAGTCATGATGAATATTGAAATTGACGAGCAAACCATGTTTGTTGCAGGCGGTTTTTTGTTGCTTCCCCAAGGTCTGTTTCGGGGAAAACAATTCAGTCCCGCCAAAACTTGGAGCCCTGGTCTATTGTGCCCCAGTGCGTCAGTAACCTCTGGTGGCAATTTGGTGAGTGTACCTGCTATTCCCTTGACTCCAATATATTCCGGGGAATTTTGATCGTTGCTCACCGAGCATGGCCTAGTCCATTGAGATATGAAAGGCTGACGAGTGTATGGTGCGCGAGTTAAGTCGCCAGTGTGGCATTTAGATTTGTGGGGAAGGCAATTGTGTGGCAACTAGGGAGCGTTCACTGACAAGTGTTCCAATCCTGGGAATGGCTGAACCTCCAGGAAAACATGGCGCAAACTGACTGTTTGGAGGTCTCAAAATCGGGGCACCTTCAAACTGGTTGGTTTCATGCTGTGGTTCACCCCGAAAAGGGTACCCTTGAACAAAGGCGAGACCATTTTGAGAGACTGCCCCCCCCAAGGCTTCTTCATGGACATTGTTTCTACATGTTGCAAGATAAACAATTTCCCTACTTCAACTCTTGCATTTCGGGAATGGAAGCGGCCAGCAATCCAATTATGAAATCCGTGAACTGTGGTCAAAGCTTCCTGTTGGCTTCCCGCTGGAACCGACCCGAAACAAGTTCATGGTTTTGAAGTATACCACGGGCATTGCCAGAGCTTTCTTACTGGAACCTCTTGTCTTTGTGTTTTATATATTCCTCCCAAATGTCTGATGTGTGGGTTCTTGTTTAGTTAAATCTATGCAGGAATCCCGGTTGACGATGGCTGTGTCCATGAGTTTCCTGTTCGACCAGTACAGGAAAGTGTCCCTCTAATTGGTTGTTTGGATTGGTGGTTTGGTGATCTTGCAGGGTGGTACCCTCTACAAGAACCAGGGACCTGCTCAAATCCTTATCCAGAAATCCAAACCACCAATTGGGCAGCGCAAATGATCGCTTTTCTTGGCTAAGTGGGGATTGACCCAGGGTGTTGCGAATGAACCGTTTTGGGATTCCCTTAGAGGGAAACCTTGGGGGATGGTTTGGGGTCGTTCCATTTCTCATCTGCTGAGAACCAGCAAGCTTTTCGGCGTTCTTAACCTGGCTCATTTTCGCCCTAGGCCACCGACCCGGCGATTGTGTCAGTGAACCAACGGCCAACAGGACTCGGACTCGACGCCGAAGGAGGGAACAGAGTTTTCATGTTGACCCCGGAGTAATAAACCCCTGTCTACCCGTGTTTTGGCGGGGATTCATACCACCTCTACCATTCCTCAAGAATAGGTGGTTTGCTCACTCCCTGAGTTCTTGGAATTTATACTTTTTGGGAGAACCATTTCAGCGACAAACAAGAAGTTTGGACTTTGTTTGGACAACCCACTCAAGAAGTGAGTTCCTCAAGAATATGTGCTACTCTTCCCTGTTGGTTTTGAAAGCAACCTAGAAACAATTTGAGGTTGTGATCTCCAGTGGTGGTTGTGAAACACGGTGGGGTATCAAACGCTGTCAAACATGGTGTGTCACCGCTAGGGTTACTCAACCAGAGCGGTTTCGGGCCTCTTTAAAACCCCAATAGAGGCTGGGTTATGCCATTATTCAAGGGAGCGCAATCCCGGCCACTCCCTCAAGGAGTCAACCTTGATATTCCGCTTTTTGCCGATGTTCTTTTTGGCTGGATGGCGTGCTTGTTCGTTTGGTTGGAATTAAAGTGGGCTCTTCTGGATTCTGCTGGTTGTTCTTTTGGTGTCAGCCTTTGAGCCGCCTCCTCTTGCGGCGTTGGGGTGTTGTTTCGTGCCGAAACCAAAGACGTTTTTTTCTTTGCTGGCTGGATTCCTTTCGCTTCTTTTGGTTTCCCCTCAAAACCTACCAAAGAAGGGTCACGCCCATATGTTCCCATCTTGAGACCCCTTAAGCCTTTTGACGACGGCACTAAACGCCAGGCCTTGCTCTGAAAAGGGCTGAAGCCTGCGTTTGGCAACCTGACATGTTGGAGGTGAACAAGTTCAGACCTTTTTGGGGCTGACTCACACAGGACACGAGCCCTGCGGAAGACTCTCCAAAAGGTGGTTTTGTTGGCATTCAAAGGGAAAGATCGAAAAAGCAAACACAACATTTTTCGGGACACAATCTTGAGAAGCAAGCATCTTTAGCCTCAATAAAATACAAAAAAAAACTAGGCTTAGCGCTTGAGCCTTTTGTTTGCGGATTTGTTCTTTTTCCGCAGGAAAGGGCCTCAAGGGGGACGCCTTGGCAGGCCAGTTGGATTCGTTCGGCGTTTGTGGGAAGAAACACGGTTTTTCCATAGCCATAGGCCCATAGGTACATGCATAAACTATCAGGGTTTCATGAGCCCTGTGAAAAGGATATGAAATTGACAATGAATGGTGCGTATGCACATGTGGAGTGAGTGAGTTCAAGCAGGAAGTGTCACCCACCGTTTTGGAAACAACTGCAATCTCGATTTGTTTGGGGCAAGTGTTCCTGAGAGCTGTCTAGAGCATGGATCATAGAGCTGCGCGGTGGCACAGCTTGAGTTATCTCGTGGTTAGCAAGGCTGCCCCTTACCTGAGGTGCCCTGTCTCCTCTACTGGGCAATTGTGAACACCCTCGTCAGCCGACCCTGGTGCAACCCTCTCAAGGCGCAGAATGCCCCTGAAATGTGTCCCGACGAGGCTACGTTCTGAGCTGACATTTGGATCCCTGAGGCTTGTTAAGGTCATTTCATATAGAAACTAAATGGAACCGGCCATTTTCGGGGTTCCCGTTCAGAGACGTTTCGCCCATGTTTCTAGCTGTTGATTCCACTGGCAATGGCTATCAAGCTCCCAAGGCGACCTTTGCTTGGGGTCTCCTACAAAACTACAGGTAGGCTAAAAATGATGTAATTCTGGAAATATGATTTTAGTACACCAGACCTTGTAAGAAGGCGACCGGATAAATTCCGTGAGGGCATGTCTGGTAGAGACAGTATGTGTGTTGGTGGCTTCAGGGGTGTGTAGCTTATTTGCCTGTCTTGTGCCTGCGCATACAAGTTCACAGGTCAACTAAGCCAGCATAAAAGTGGGCCCGTCATGAACCCTGGATTCGTCTTTCCTTCTTACCATCAGGCATGGGAATCATGCAGGGAGCGCAGTAGAAACAGGTCCTATTTTTTATTCAGCAGTTCCTTTGTCCCCAAGGCTCAATGGATAAACTCGGTTACGTAACGGCTTTGCTCTCGCAATGCACAGGCTCCAGCTTATCAAGCTTTCAGATGTCCATCTTCACGTGTGCTTCCTCGACGTTGGTAAGCGTAGGGTTGGACTACCCTTGTTGCTTTTGAAACAACCAACAACAACCAAACTCCAAGCAACCCGCACCGGAGGGTTTGGGGGGGCTGGACCATCCACGAAAGTTGTCCAAACGTTTGTTGATTGGGAAGGCCATTTGGTACTGCGCGTCACCCGGCAAAAGCGCATGAACCTCGCATTAGGCGCATTTCAGACACCGCCACATATTGCTATATATATATATATACATACCGATGCACATATATATATATATATATGTTGTGTAAATCTATATGTGTGTATATATATATACTCACATATATATATATATATATATATGTATGATCCAGCCTTCCTTGGCCCCCCCCCCACCCCCCCCACCCCCCACCCCCCCCCCACCCCCACCCCCACCCCCCCCAATGGTCATGTTCAGTCAAGCAGGTAGCACAGTGTGTATATACCACAGATCGGACGCTTGCCATTACAAAGCTTCCCTTCAGCTTTCCAGGTGCATTGGGCGGCAAGGCGGGTGTCTTTGGGTGCCCCTGGCTGGAGTTACACACGTTTCGCGCAGAGAATCGGCCCGGACCCCTCCCAGACGTTCGTTCACTACGCACACGGGGTGCAACCTGCATGGTGTTTACGGAAATACAATTCCAGTAGGCATCTTCCATGTGCTTAAGACTATTGCGTGCTTGCCCTTTTTGGTTTAAAGGGAACCACTGCTGGAAATCCGTTTAATTTTCAAGGGGGTTTAAGCACATGGAAGCTTGGAAGACTACTTTCCTTACGGACATGGGCTGCACTTCATTTTTTGTTGGCGGGAGGAGGGTAGATTGCCAATGCTGGCGGGGGTTCCCTTCATTTGGGGATAAGCCCATTTTCAGACGCAGATGCTGCACAAGATCTCGCCTGTGGAGGCGAGCTTACCCATGATGAAGCCCTTTTGTGGAGTCTTCATCTTCTGTTTGAAAGTTTGTGTGATCTGGTACTTGCTTTGGTGCATTTTGCTTGGCTGCTAGGACTTTAACTTTTTGCCAACTAATGGGTTTTCCGCTAGACCACTAAAAGTTAAACTTTTAGCAGGGCTTCGCAGATTTAGCAACCGAGTTTGTGTAGGTTTCTATTGGATAAGGAAACCAATTTGAGGCGACATTTCAAAGGAGTCCCGGATGTCTTTCTCAAGCTGAGAACTGGAATTCGCATCAGCGGGCTCCAGACTCTCTAGGTGCCACTGTGGATGGTTGCGAAACCCCTTTCGCGCCACCCAAGAAACCCCCGTAAAACCAACAAACGGTTTAAAACGAGTGCTTTAAACTGCGACCAGCACATTTACAGGTCTGTTTTCTTGACGCAGGAGGTATGTTTCCTTTTATTGGTTAGCGTTTGCATGACGCAACGTGTCCGGCAATTTGTGCCATAGTTGAACAGCATTGGATTTCAAAGGCGACGCTGCTCTCGGCCATTAGACATCGTTCTTGACTGCTTGCGGGGGTGGCCAGCCTTTCGGCTCCACACGAGAAAGCAACTCAGTGCAGCCACAGCATGTTTGATACAAGACAACGGTGGAAGCCAAAGGGTTGACGAACACATCCTGCCTTTGAGGCACGACGGCTGTTCCAAAGCGATGGGCAGGCCAGTGGGTATGGTGGTAACATATGTCCTAATCGCGTCTTTTCCTCGTCTGCTTCGTAGATCAGCACTACCCTTTGGGATCAGCAAATACCATCCGCGCAGGCCAAACGGTTTGCGAGTCAAAAATATTGTTTACAGAAAGCAGGCCGGTCACAGAGAACACACAACTTAACTTGGTGGATCGCAGCCATCCCGGTAGCTAATTTGGCTTTTAGGTGTGTAGTGTGAGTTGCCATTTAACCAACCAGTATTTTAACTTTTAGCATGGGGGCACCAATCTGCCAATTGCAGGTTCTAGTCCTGCTAGCTCTGAGTCTGGCCGAGTTAGGAAAAAGTCAGGATAGCTTACTTGTAGGCTGACATCTGATTCCGCACTAGATTCCTTCCTGGCAGGGAAGCCCGAAGCTAAAGTGTTGAGCTGTCCTGTCAGCAACCTTTTGGCCCAGCGTGTAGTGTAATGCTTACCCGGGATGCACGCCCCTGACTGATACGGGGGTCCTGTTTTAGTGGGAATCCTTGTGTGGATCTGACCACAGCCCTGATGACATACAAGTTGAAAGACGAATAAATCCCCAACCAGGGGGCCACGCGAAGCCAAAGTGCTTTCTCCCTCTCGATGCTGCGACGTTTGGGCGCCCGCGTGCCCCACGCGTTTCGGGTTTCCCGGCGCCCTTCGCGGTTTTGCGGGAGCGCTGAAGCACAAGGCGGGCGGCGGGTAGCAACCATAGTGGTTCGCTGTAGTTTCCAAGAGAGTTGTACAACGAAAGACGGGGAGCAGCAGATTTTGAATTGTCGGACACCTATGATTTCCATTGCAGCTGGCAACCTAAGCAGGGTCGTAAGAATTGATCATACAGATATTAACATAACGTCCGAGATACGAGTATTTCAATCCTTCCGGGAATATTTCCAGCTTTATGTTCAGCAAACCGCTATGGTAGAACATTCCGTCGTTGTCTTTTTCTGGGGGTCTAAACATGTTTACCTGTTTACCCTGATGGTCTCCATTGCGAAGGTGTTGGCACAGTCTTACGCTGACGCTTGAAGTGGGATCATGCGCGTGTGGAAACACCGCACGCACAGACCTGCCCTTTTGAAGAGATACATCAACGGTTTGACGCCCTCTCTACATGTTCAACAGGTTCGCTGTTGGACGCTGGCCACCATCTTTTTTTTGATCCAATCTCTTTGATCAATTTGTAAGCATTCATTCATTGTTAGATTTAGTCGTTTTCGTTCGTCGTTTTTATTAGCTTAAAAGAAAGGGGGTGGGATGTATCGGGACTATGACCCTATGTATGTCCAAAAATGGCAGTCCCAGCTTCTCCGTTGGATTCCGCGTTTAGTTGGGAAGGGTACAGTCAACACAATCAAGAGCTGCAAAAAGCTGCCCCCTTTCTTCTTGACCATGAGTTTAGACCTCTTTACCAGGTTTTGCTTTTGGCTGTGCAGCTGAAGTCATGAATTCCAAACGGAGGTCTCCAACGCGCCCCAAACGACGGATCATATGAGCCGCTGACACTCCAATTAGTACGGTCGTTTGGAGAAGAAAAGGGGAGTCAACCCAACTTCCCCACCCCCCAAATATACAAATATTTGCTGGCCTCTACCATCCAGTGTTTCCGATGTCCTTTCTTCAACAGACTCCCTGATAGATACCCGTTCACGAATCAGGGGTCCCTGATTGATTCCCCCCTCCCACCCAATGGTGTGTCTGCTTTTTGAGTCAGGCTTTCTTTCTTCCACGGCGGATAATGGATCTTGGACGCTCTTTGATCGGATGATTAACCTTGAACTTCTTTGGAACATGTGCATTTGCGCACTAAGCAGCAACTCGTTTGCTCTTTTGTGCAATGCAACCGGCAAGTCATGAACCAGAGGGCCGGCATCAAGAAAGCTGATTTGTTCCAACATGAGGCTTATGTATGAGCTTTTGCTGACGCAAAGAGCTTGCTGTTCCCCGACATACCCTCAGACTTGGTGTTGAGAGTTCAGAGAGATTTCTGACATACCCCACCGGCATTACTTTTCGGGGATCAACGAACCACTTGTTTTGTTTCTTTAAGTAGGTCCCTTTTCTTGGATCCATTTTTTCGGGTGGGCCCCAAACTGGCCCAGCCTAGGCAAAAAAAATGCACCGGCTTGGCCGAGGGCATTTCCCGGTTTCTGTTTGGCTTGCCTTTGAACCGTAAAGTGGGATATCGAAAGCAAGGAATACTTGCCCCCAGCGCGATCTGGAGTTGATCCATTTTTTCGTCATTGTTTTATTCAAACACCAGATCTGTCTCCCCGTGTTGAGGCTTGGAAAGGATCCCCGGAGAGTTCATGGGGCAGGTGGCTGTGGCTCCAAAGCATTCAAAGCTGCGCAACCCAAGCTCTTCAATTGAGCGGCGGTTTTGTTGTAGGGAACAAAACACAACGCTCAATTTTGAGCCACACCCATTGTAAGGATGTGAGGCGGTGACGCTCCGAGAGCGGCTCTCTTCCAAGTGCCACTACTTTGTGCACTTCGGCGCCTGGGCTCGTGAGCCGAAGCAGTTTTCGCCATTTAGGCGGCTACTTGATTTAACCTATATCGCTATATATGGTAAAACCCATATTGCGATGCTTCCAACTCTGTGGACATGGGTCCCCAGAGACCTCCCAAACATCTCCCCCTCCCCCGCCGAGGCAACTGCCTCGTGCTGCTGGCCATCAACCAGGCGAAATGTCTGAGTCACTTCCGTAATGAAGGCGACTTGGGAAGCCTAGGGACCTCCATGTCGTGTTTTTGGTTGAGTCTTCTATATAAATAAGGTCGACAAAACACAGGGTGTGTTTCGGGGAGGGTTTGTTTTATAGGTTTTTGCGGAGTCGGACCCCCAAACATGATGGTCGTCCTTTTGGCTTCCCTTCAACAGCACCTAACAAAGGGTAATTACCTTGATAGAAAGACACCCACATATGAAAGAGAGTCAGAACAGATTGTGCTCTGACCAGATGTGGGCCAAGTTGTAGTAACGAACCCGTTTTAACATCACAACTGATCCCCAGCCTCAACTGTTTGAACGCAGGGTTCACCCTCTCCATACATTGGGCAAGAAAAAATGTTCCAAAAGCGGGGGGGCGCTTTGCCCAATCCTGGCCTGTGCCCAGTCCAAAGCCTCCAAATGGGGCACTTGCTTCGTACGGGATCGGCTTCTTTCCGGTGTGCAGTCTAAACCCCAATGAACGCAACCGCTGTGTCTGTAGCCCAAGCAGAACCGTGTCCAAAAACCATTCATGTTCAAGGCCGCTATGCATGCTAAACTCTAAACCATTGCCATTGCGTGTGGTGTGGTCTGTTTTGTGCCCACTCCCAGAATTCGGACTTTATACTTTTGGACATGTTTCTGGACTTTGTACTGTTGCGGAAGGCCACTTCAGTGGCAAACGTTGCAGTGTGAACTTTGTGTTGGCCAAAACCGCTCAGGAAATGAGTGTTTAAACATCAACCCATGGACAAGCCCTTGCCCTCGATAAACAGGGCTCTCCTATCAGGGATGCTTCACTGGGCCCTTTGTGATCCAGTCAGCCGGAGTCCATTGAAGTGCAGTTTGAATTTTATCCTCTCATCCAGCAACGTGGAAGCTGACGCTTCGGGGTCCTAGACGATTTTCCTGCAAAAGGGACCATCTCTCTCTGGTGGTTTCATGTTGGTAGACAGGAGGGTATTGCGGTCCTAATTCATTGTTTCTGAATCCGTTAGCCATTTACCATTTGGAGGGGTCTGGGATTGAGTCTACACTGGGAACCCGAACATAAAAACCTAGGTAAATGACAGCCTCTTCATAAAAGCCCTGTGGCCCAGACGACGTTGCTCTTATTTCACCCTTCCATCGACTCGAATCGGGTCGCATTTGTTCTATTCGGGTCGAGTTTGTTTCGGACGCAGACGGACATGCTGCAGCTGCGGATGCTGTCAGTCACCGCTTCGCTGTTCGGCATGGCCTACAACCTGCTGCAGCCCACGCCTCTCCTGGCGCCGGCCGCATGGGGCGGCTTCTTCATCTGCTGCCACCTGCGCCACGGTATTGGGAAAACGTCGGACCGCTTTGCGCGGGGCGAGACAGATTTCTTCTCCACCTGTGACAGACAACGGGGGGCTGACATGCAAAAGCACCTGAACTCAAAACTCGAACCCTTGGAGCCTAAGGGGTCGTTCTCAGCCATAAAAAGTCACGTCATTGCCCTTGTGATTTCCGGGATTCGCTGGCGCATCCTTTGATTCTGGGTGGTAAGGATTCCCCTGACGCAGACAAGCGCTGTGCGGTTGGACCAGATCTTGAGGCCTGGAGGCTTTGGTGATTAATATCCCAATGAATTTGGCCCTGAGAAATAGGGCCTCCACTCCACTGCATCTTTGTTTGCTTATTGTTCCTGGAGTCGTAAAAGCATTTTTTGCCCAGTGCCCCAGTGCCATGACTTCTTTGGCCATTGATCAGCAGAAACAAAATGTACGCCCCTCCTCCACTTCCTTCCAAAAATGATCTCAGACCCCCACTCCTGCAGGATTGAGATCCACCCACCCCCCCACCCCCACTCCAGGATCTCAGACCCCTTCTAAAAGCGCCTCCTGGGCCTTTTGGACATGAGGTACTACATCGTGCAGCTCTTGCGGGAGCGTGCGGGCATTACCCTGGACCCGGACCACGAGGCCACCTCCGGTGCTTGCCGAAGCTTTTGACCCCGACTTTTGAGTTGGAGGTGGTTTTCCTTCAAAGTCAAATGCCACCAAAAGGGTGCAAACACTTGCATGGTGAACTATGATCAAAACTCGAAAGCTGGAATAGCTTGGAGTTGCTTTCAACTTAGCCTTCCACGCGTAGGACCCGGTTTCTTGAAAAAGGGAAACGGTTCAAAGCAGGACATCCCGAAAGGTCAGGTTCCATGTTAATTGGTGGGAGTGTAAATGCCAACAAGGGTACAAAACCTTGCATGATCAACGATAGTCACAGCTGGGACAACTTGGAGTTGCACGCTCAAAACCATTGATACAACCTACTAAGTGGGTTTACCATCCAAGCACTGTACATGTGATGGCTATGTGAAATCTGTTTCAACTGGACGAAATGTGACATCGCGTTACAATTGGATGTCGAGCAACTTGTCATCCTGGAGGACAAGCTTGGCCCTTTGTTGCAAGCGATTGTCCTTCAGATGTGTGAATTTGTTCGATTCATGATGGCCCACCTCACTCACCAGAATTTGTTGAATGTAAAGCCTGCTTGAGGTATGCATTGTGAGCGTTCAACAGCAGACAGATGTGCACGTGACCCAGGATGCTGCAGGTATTCCACCTATTTGCATGCCTGACTCCACAGTAGCATAATCCTGTGGGAATAAGAAGGGAGTTCTGTTGGGAAAAAGTGAGCAAGGCACAATATTGTGTAACGTGGCCTTACGATGCGTCAACAGACTGGCGTGCTTTCATTTGCTCGTAACAATGTTTTCTTCCCGGTTAGTTCTTAAAGGAATCTTGTCGTGACTGGTAAACACTTGCTTGGTTGGAAAGCTCTTGCTTGGTTTACTCTTCACCCACTAACATAAAGCGCATTTCCTCTTAAAACGACCTTCTGGTGGAATCCATGGAAGCGTGGGTTGGTATTCTCAGTTCTTGTGACACAATGTTTGGATGGGACATATCATGGCTCTTGTGCCACAGATTTGGTGTTAAGCTTAGGTTTCTGAATGGTTGGGTTTCATGTTTGTACACCATCCCTGATTGAAATGGTACCTTTGAAATGGCAGCAGATTCCTGTGCTGGGCAGTGACCCATCACACAGATCCACAGCAAGGGGGAATTGACATCCAAGGGTGGTCCGTTTTGCATTTCTCTTTGGTTCGTAAACGGAAGCCAGAAATACCGAACGCAGACATACTCACTCCCTGTGTACCTGTGGGTGCTGGACTATGAACCATTTCGTGGTGAACAAGAAGTTCACACTGTTGTTTTACCGATCCACTCACAGGAAGTGAGGTTCCCCAAGGCCCTTGACCTGTCTTCTTTTGGGGGGGGGGCTGCTTGTACGAGTGCGCCGTTTCTTCGGGCTGGCAGCCGAGCCTCATGATGCACCGGCGAGTGGTGTCGGGTGGTGTTTCATGATTCAAGCACCAAGTTTCTTGCCCAGTCGAGTGTTTGGGTGGATCTCTGAGGGAAGGTACCTGGAAGATGAATCATGTGGAGGGTAAACGTCGTTAGAGGTTCATGGATCGACTTGCAAGTGGGACCATCGGACAGCCTAGTTTCCTGAACCGCACCCTTTTCGGGCGGTGAAATGGTAGGCCTTTTTTCCGTGGCAGAGCCGTTTGGTGCGATTGCCCGGCTGATTTCCTCGTGGCTTGCGAGGCAGAAGTTTGTGGCTTTCTGGCGTAGAAACCAGCGCCACCAGGCCACTTTCAGTAGCCAAGGGAATCCCCGTGGCATATCGGATGGCCGTTGGTATCACAGATTTTCCGTTATCCACAAATGGGTCTGTTTGTTGGTTTGTTGGGGACCCCCCCGAAATGGTAGTGTTCCTCTTGTTTCGTTCTAAAACCAACAAGAAACCAGGGTATTGAGCCTGAAAAACAGACACCCCCGATATGTCGACAGTCATGAGATCATGGGCTAGTTTCTTTGTTCAAGGTGTCTTATACATACGTAATATATATATATATATGGTACCCCTATATATATATACATACATATATATATATACATACATACATATGTATATATATATATATATCCATACATGTCCAGACCTTTTGGACGAGTCGGGTGCAGGCGGCCTATGAGATGGCCTTCATGCCCTTTGGCTTCACCCCGCGCCAGTTCCTTGACCTTTGCCAGGTGGCGGACGCTCAGATCCAGGACCTCAGCTGCGGCGGCTACTTCGCGCGCAAAGGACCCGTCGCCCTTCAATGGATTCAAGCTGCCTTGTTTGTGGAATCGTGGAAAAACATGCTTGCAGGTTAGGCTTGAGTTACCACCAAAAGGAAATAGAAGTTGGAATTTTATTGGAGTGCAACTTTGGGTAAATGACTCCCAGAAGCAAAGGCGAGTCTTTAAAACGAAGGATTGGCGGCGATTGGGCGCGAGCAGGTCTCGAAACGAAGGACAGGCGAAGCGAGAAGCCCTTTTGTCAAAACAATGATTTGAGAGTATTGGATCTTTTAAATTACGCAAGATGAGAAGCAACCGAAGGAAAAGGACCATTATCCGAAACTTCTGCGAGGTTCTTTCAAACTCTCTACGCTGCAAGTCTAGGTCTTTGGTGGATCTGAGAGGGACATGGAAAACTCACTAAGCTTCCTGCAAGTACACAGGGAGGGAACCCTAATTTGCCCGATGGGCAAGCAGTTGTAATTTTGACCGTCGCTCAGTTGGCAACGGGTAGCCAGTCGACTTGCTTGCGGGCGATCGGGCGCAGGCAACACCCAAAACCCCACCATTGACGGGTTCTACTTGCCGGGAGCACACATGGTTGGCGGATCTCATGTCTTTCTTTTGGGATGTATCCGTGTCCACTAGTTGTCGAGGGTTTTGTCCACTCGCATAGAACTCACCACAGGGTTACGTCTAGAGGAAAATTGTTTTTCAGCATCGCCATCAGTCAGGTTCCAGCATTGAAATGACATACCATCCACAATTTCGTAACGCTTGCAGAGATGCCCATGCACCAATATTTGTCACACGTGTCCTTTGCTTGAGGGTATTCCCTATTTGCATGGTGAATTACCCCTCACCACGTGGTCAGCAGGAGAGCATCGTCGAAGACTGGGGTGGGGCAGTTTTCTTTACCCAAGGCATCCCTTTGAGCCGTCAGGCGGTCACAGGGATGGCCCGCTTTGGTGCCATGGTTGAATAGCCATTGTTTGCTACAGGGGGATGGAATCATTCCACGGTTCCTTAGGTGGTGTCAAATGGATTTCGTCCGCAGTCTCACAGATTTCGGGAAGCTTCCCTCACTGCAGGAGAGCCCATGGACAAGATCAACTACCTCATGGAGGGTGAGGTCATGCTCATCAGCCACACCGAGGACGGCTCCTCATGGCAGGCCCTTTAAGGTGTGTCTGTGTGTGTATGCGTATATATATGTGTGTGTGTGTGTTCATGTGTATGTGTGCGTTTTTCTTTGTGTGAGGCCGCACCGCAAGGGTAATTATATCTTAACCATCAGCTGCGGATGCCTACTCGTTACTGCCGGTACTTAACCACCTTTTCACCGGAGCTCGTGCACAACACCAAGGCAATATAAGGGGCGAACCAATTCCTGTCAGATGTTTTCTTTTGATCATGACTGAATGTTTTTTTGAAGTACTCCTTAACTGCACTAAGCCCTTAAAGAAACACCTCCAGCAACATAGACTGAAGGGAGGCTTGAAGGGGCCTGGTTGACATAGGGATCCGACATCGGCGGCAATTTGCATTGTCAGGGTCTCCCCAAAGATATGTAAGGAACATAGGCCATGTGTTTTCACCTCTTGTTTCTTTTGGTGTGCCAATGTTTTGGGGAGTGGGATGCAAGGGAAGCCAACGAATTTTGAGGATCCACATTTTAATACAAACCCACTTTTTTGTGCAAGAAGAAAGGGTGCCTTGCTCCCCTTGGCCACTGGGTAAGGAGGAGCTATCAGCCCTGTAATGACTCAACCCCATCTGAACTCGAACTCTGGCGAAGAGAACCACTCAGCCAGGCTCGTGGCCAAGAACATGTCCATGAAGGTTCCCGAGTTCAAGTTACGGATATCTTTTGAAGTACATCCTCGCCAGGTAATAGAAAGGCCTAAGTATTTCAAGTTGGGTTGCACTTTAAAGCTGGAATACGTTATAGCTATGTTCATAAGAGACAAATGCGTGTGTCATTGTTTGAGGGCACCTCGTTTGGGGGTTGCTTTAAAGGGAAGCCAGAAGGACAGCATGCATCAAAGGGTACGCTGCAGATTCACATTCTTAGGATCGGAATCTGTATCTGGGAAACGGAGCCCTGTTTGGGCAACCCATGTTAATTTGAGTGCCCAAGGTCATGGGGTCATGGGGTTTGGGGGGAAGGAGGGGGGAGGGGGGGAGGGAGCCCAAGTTATCTCTTATTAATCTTATTTGGGCCCCTCCCCCCGCTCCCCGCTCCCTCCCCAACCCTGTGACATGGCAGTGGGTCACAAAAAAAATGCTACTCACAACTTGCAACAGACTAAAACCTGCGGTCGATATGGCTGTGGGTCAAAACCAATGATTTAGTCTATTTTAGTGATTGGATTGGGATGTTCACTGGGGGTACGATTTGGCTTTGGACCCATGGCCATATCCTGGTGACTGAGTTTGATCCGAACAGGATAAGATGGCGAACATCTCCGCGGGCCAGGGCAGCTGGCTGGGGGAGTTCTTCGACCCCGCTATGGCGAAGGATTACTGGGAGAAGCCCAGGAACCACCTGGCGCCACGGACCGCGGTAGTTCTGGGTTTGCCCAGTTCTTTGGGCAACCCCCAAACCACCTTTTGGTTGGTTTGAAAGGGAAACCAAAAGGACACCAACCTTTTTGCGTGTGTTATTTGAAGACAAGGTCATGTGGAGGTGGTTGTTTTTCTTTCGAGACCACCTTTTGGGGGAGACTGAAGGGAAACCACCCATCTTGGGTGGCTATGACTTTTTAAGAGTGGTGGAGCCCTGTCAAACATGGCTGGTGGACAGACCTCCCCATGATGTCCGCCAGTTTGGGTGTATGCAACCATATCTAGGGGCAAGGCTGACAACGAAGGAACTCGCTTCAACTTCCTTCCCTTCAGG